CTCTCTCTCTCTCTCTCTCTCTCTCTCTCTCTCTCTCTCTCTCTCTCTCTCTCTCTCTCTCTCTCTCTCCCCACACTCCCAATGCGGGCAGTCTGTCGCCTTCGCATCAACACAGAGTTGTCACCCCGCTTGATTCGAGCATGCAAGCCAGGTTCGCCTGTGCGCCACAGTCCGTCGCGGCCCCGCACACCAACCCCGCATACCCGACACCAACTCGTCGGATCGCCCAACTCTCGCACTCACTCACCTTCCAAACTTGCTCGCTAGCCGACCCTCACTGATCGCGCTAACCTCGAAATTCTTAGAGAGGAGACTAATCGCGTTTGCAAAATTTATAACATGCGTGCCTGCACGAAAAGTACGTGATTAAGCCCAGGTGGACAAGAGGAGAAGAGAGGAAGTGCCTACGTCTGCATCGCTAGGCCGCATCGTGGGGGTCGCAACCACACTCCACGCATCGATCCGGTCATGCAGGCGCTCCGACCAATTAGAACATAGTATGTAAGGTGAGGAAGAAGGAGGAGGCAGGCAAACACGAGGAAACCAAGAAGGAAGAAGGATACTGCTACAATTGCGCCCGCCAAAGACGACAGTTGCACAAGATTAAGGGTCCGACCCAGTCAGAGCCCAGTTCCCAGCGCGACAAGATGCGCGCAAGCGCAACGCAACAAAATTCAGAGGACCTAAATTCCTAGCCTAAGTCCTAATTGCAAAAGGAAATTCCGAAAAAGCAGAAGAGAAAAACAATTCCGTGAGCCCGTGGGGGCTCGTCATCAGTTGAAAAATTCAAAAACGATATTTTTGCGCGATGATCGCGCCAAAATTCCCAGTGCTCACAGTAGAACAAGAAAGAGCTATGGTATAGTTATTTCTCGCGCTCGCGAGGGCGTGGTTACCCAACTGTAGGCACGAGATCTTCCCGACACCGATCCGACAGCTCCCAACAGAAAACGAAAAGAAACGAGGACATTCATGCAATTTGCCTGCCCGACCCATCTTCCCACAACTCACGCATTCGACCCGTCGTATTTCCCCAAGCAGCTTCATGCAGGAAGTCGCTCGATTTCATAAAATAGTTCGTCATATATGTGACGCCCAGGGGGTTCCAATTTTGTGCAAGCTCCTGCTTGCACCCATATCTCTTCAAGGTGCACGTGTCATTATTGTGGGATAAGAGTGTGGAAGTCATCCTGCTGACACGTCACATTCCGTGCACCCATCTTTAGTGTCCCGAGGGAGGGGGGTAAATGAGTCGGAATACGGAGGCGCGAGGTGGGGGATGTTCTCTCGGGAGTGTGGGCAAGAAGCTCGCCATTCCTGCTACCGTCCCGGGAAGTTCAAGGTACCTGATGGTGCGGTGTATGTGCAGGAAACGATGGCCGCCATAGGGAAGAGAAGCAAGGTAGTCGGGATAAAGAGTGGAAAAGGTGCGAAGCAAGGCCGCGTGGAATTGCTCGTGATCTGCGCACACAGGAATAGTTCCTGTGATAAGGCAGCAGACTTCGATCACATGGTGATCCCGCCACGCGGCGCTGGAAAGAAAAACGTGCAGGCAAAAGGAGGGGAAGACACACTTAGTAGTGGGATGCGGGTACACTGTGGCGGCGAGGCGGGTAGTGTAGAATTGGTAGAAGAGGGAAGAGGGGAAGGGATTTTGGGGAAATGCGAGCGGGGTATCGATTTGCCAGAGTGTTAGGTAATCAAGGGGACGATGGGATAGTAACTGGGGACGTAGCCCGATGCCCCGCATTGGCATGTGTTCGAACTGAGGGACGGGGGGAAGGGGAGGGGGAGCGGCTCCGTTGCCTCCGCGTTGGCGCGCTCAAAGTTTCTACAGTGCAGCGCTCATCTTCCTCTGTCGGCGACTCCGGGTCTCGGGTCGGATCGTTCAGAACTGGCAATTCAGTTCCCACCGATTGTTCTAGTGGATGCTTTCCAGCTGCTATTTCTGCCCTCCGTCGTTCTGCTTCCGCAGGGTCCTCTCCCTGTGTCCCCTCCTGTTCCGTCTCTTCCTCCTCGCTTGCTTCCTCTTCCTCTTCTTCTTCTTTGCTTATTGCCCCCAACTCATGCTCACTATGCTCGCTATAATACTCATCCTCTTCAGAGGTATCTTTCGATTCGTCTCCCTCTTCCTCTTTTTCTTCTTTTTCTTCTTCTTCTTCTTCTTCTTCTTCTTCTTCTTCTTCTAATGACGGCTCACCTCGATCCAAAAAGAGAAGATCAATTATCTTTGCGGGGTTTAGGTAGCTACCGTATGACGTGTAACTACAGTTGTCCCAATCACCCTCCAAGCACGTTGACCACTGAAGACACGGCGTCAGGCTGCGTGAAAGAATATGCGGCGTCGGACTCTCGTTGTAGTGCGAGATGACGTCGATTGGCAGATCGTCCAGCAGCTACGTTAGGAGGATTAGAAGCTCCCCCACGATCGACTGTCGATGTCCCCCTTCTACCGATCCGAAGACGAATCCCAACAAATCTCCTTCTACTCTCGCTGTCCAAGCTTGAATGATAAGTAACTCTACGTCTTCGTTCATGACGGGGTGCTCACTGTCCCTGGTCCACTTCAGTTTGATCTCGACTAAACACAGAGACAGAGTCGCATAGGTTTGCCACCACCCTTGCCACTGCTAAGGCTTAGTGAGAGGAACCGTCAGCGGCCGCAGGCAGAAAGAGAGACGAGGATGGAGTGCCGACTGCCAGAAGATAGGGAAGACAGAGGGGAGGGTGAAGGTGGAGAACCTGTGAGGGTTCATTGGGGACGCGAGAAAGCGGTGAGCGCAGGGAGACGTATCACGGGATTCTGTCGGAGAACACGGATGCCGTCCAGGTCAATACTGTTAGTATTGACGACGTTTTCCCCCCGCCGCGCAAGCAGCTGACTCCAGGAACTTGCCAATTCTTCCCCCCAATCTCGCAACGAGACGAGGATGCTCGGATGCGCCCTTGGATCCACCGTAGTGATGTCTCCGCTAAAGGAGACAACTGTCGAGATGTGGCTGGTCCCGGGTTCCGAGAGCCGTAGAAAGGCTGATGCTTCGGCCAATACTTGCGCCTTGCTGTTGGGTATTACGAATCGGAACTCTGCTGCTGCATCCACGCTTGCGGTGCTGAAAAACTGAGCAAATCGGATGACGTCCGGGCTGATACGCGGATGATGAACCTGTCTGATCACCGAGATGTGTCCGTGTGGCGCTAGCATCCGCTCATTGAGTACCTGTTCCGTGGAAAAACTCATGACGAAGAGGAGGGAGAAGATGAATGGGGAGAGGAATGAGAATGGGGAACGTCGCTTTTCCACTCGGACTCAGACTCTGAGGGCGATCCAGTTGGAGAGGAAGGGAAGGAAGCAGAGAGATGGCGGAGATAGGACACGTGGCGGACTATGGGTCTAGCTGACCGACTGCCTGCCACTTCGGGAGCGAGGCGCATGGTGTTCACTCCGTTAGGTCCGAGCTCGATCACTCGAAAGTACCCGAAGAATCGTGGCGCTAGTTTCCCTTGACGAGCACATTTCCTTGCACCAAGTCCCCCAATTTATACTGGGGCCAGGGACCTGCATTCCCATTTCGGGCCTCGTAACTGCGGACCTGACGGTCGTGGGCCAATTCGGTCATTCTCTTGCCTTTTTCAGGCCAATCTTGGAAAGGCCCGCTCCATAAGCTCCAAATGGCGCTCTGCCTTTTCCTTGGTCGTTGCTATTGTGGGATGTCGGCCGAGTGTCGTTTCATCATTAAGGTTTGGTACCGAGACGCAAGTTAGGCTGTTGGTTCGTAATTGAAATGGGAAAGTCCCGTAGACTCATGTGGGGTCCCTTGGTGTACAACCAAGATATGATCCACAATATCAGGCCACGACCACGTGTCCCTAGCCGCGATATTCCGTCGGAGTGCCGTTTTGATGACTTGGTTGGCGTTTTCTACGAGACCATTCAATTGAGACATATGGGGGGCAGTATTACGAATAGACACTCCATGTATGACTAAATTCCTCATAAGTTCCCTCGGAACTCTGCTCCATTGTCCATAAGTATTTCCTCGGTGTCCTGATGCATCCCGAGGAAACGGTTGACATACCGCGCTATTTCCATCGTCTGTCTAGTCTGACATGGGTAGGCCTCGATCCATTTTGAAAAGTGGTCAACGAACACCAAGAGGATTGAATATTCACAACTATTCGGCCCAGGGGGCACGACGATATCCATCGTATCCATGCTACCCCTCTGAAACGGCCGTTGTACTTCAGTGGGCACTATCGATCTAGGCGGCTGAATCGGTGCCTTGTCAGCAGCGCAAACCTGACAATTTCGGACGATGAATTTAACATCGTCGTGAATATTGGAGTAATACCATTCATTCTTGTCAAGTACCGCCTCTGTAATCCGTACGGCAAAGTGAGCTGCAGTCTCTTCATGTGCCGACTTAACCCAGTCATACCTTACGAATGGATGGGGCACGACCATCCAAATCCCACTACCATCGGTCCTTCGTTTTTCCAACCGTCCGTCGTTCCATCGATAGTCTCGTGCCCTCTCATTAGCCCTTTTACGGTCCTCCTTGGTGAAGTCTCGGAGGGGGTTCCCGACCACTGTGGCTATTAAGACGACATTTGTCCATACCTAGGCCCTTCTAAACCTATGGGTCTTTTCTAAACCCTCCGACGTGGCCTCCAGAAAATGAGCTTCCGTAGGAATTTAGTCGGATCAACACAAGGGACACAACCAGGCTTTGTCCGAGTTTCGGTACTGAATGCAGGAACCATCGGCCCTGGAGACACAGTGCCGACTATCTACCCATTCGACGTACCCTTCCCCGCTAGGACGCATAGGGACCAAGTAGACACACGAGATTGCCTCGCAAAAGTAACAAAACTTGTCAGGCAAAGAGAGGAGAGACGAGGATGAGAGGGGAGAAAGGGGGCCTCCATAATTACCTTCATCGCCTATTGTCACGTGTCACTTCTTAGCACGCGGAAGGATGGCCACTTGTCCGTACTGCGGCCCACTGACTGGTTCCGGTTCCCTCCACAGGATAATTTCTTCGCCCTTGGTAACCTTGGCCGGTCGGTGCAGTCGTGTTAGCCCGTCCACGTTCCCATGTCTTTCCGTCTTTCGATGGACGATGTCGAAATCGTGCTCCTGCAGCCGCACTGCCCAACGTCCAATCAAGCTCGTGTAATTAGTGAGTCTCTTAAGAGCCAACATGGGTTCGTGATCCGTAACGAGGAGGAACTTCTGCCCGTACAGATACGGATGGAAGTGTTGAATCCCCCACACCACCACGTAGCATTCCCCTTGAGTTTCCGGATCATTTCTCCTTTCGTTTGGTACTGTCTTGGACACGTACTCCATGACGTGCTCGCGACCGTCTTTCCCCTTCTGCACCAGAATAGCGGAGATTGCCTCCGGCTGCCAGTCCGTGATGAGTACAAATTGCTTCTCGGGGTCAGGCCGAATCAAAATAGGGGCCGTGGCCAAGGCTTCCTTCAATGTGGCAAATGCCTGCTCGGACTCAGCGTCCCACCTCAATGGCTGGTCCTTTTGCAAGAGGTTCGTTAGGGGCCGTGCGATTGCCGCAAAATCCTTGATAAATTGACGATAGTACGAGGCTAGTCCCAAGAAAGCTCGAACTTGCATCATCGACGTGGGTGTCGGAGTGTCTCGAACCGCCGCGACTTTTCTCGAATCTGGCCGCAAACCCCCTCGCGTCACCACGTACCCTAGGAACGAGATTTTCGACAGGAAAAACTCGCTCTTCTCCAGGGCAATTTTGAAGCCCGCATCTCGCAGCGCTCCAAGTATCCATTCGATATGCTGCGCATGTCCGTGAAACGATTCCGAATACACCAGGATGTCGTTCATGTACACGATAACACAAAAGTTCACCATTCCCTGTGTCAGTCGAGTCTTGTTAACGAAATTCTGGAAGATCATGTTCATCGCTCTTTGAAACGTAGCCGGAGCATTGCAAATGCCCATAGGACATCGAACCCATTGCCACGTTCCTTCGAATAGTACGAATGTTGTTTTCGGACGGTCCTCTTCCTTCACCAATATGTGATGGAACCCATGGCGGATGTTGAACTTGCTAAAGTAGTTAGCACACTCAATTGCATCCAGCAAATCATCAATCCGCGGGAGGGGATGCACATCTTTCATCGTGATATCATTCAGTTTCCGATAATCGATGCAAATGCGAATGGATCCGTTCTTTTTAGGGACTAAAACCACGAGGAAGGACCACGGTCCGGTAGCGGGCTCGATCCAACCATTGGCCTCGAATTCTCTGATCCACTCCAGAGCGGTTCGTCTTTCGACTAACAAGTACCGATATGGTTTAAAGTGAATCGGCGGGTGGGTGCCCGTCTGGATCTCGTACTGTATCACTAGGGATAGTCCTATGTGCGTGTCCTTTGTACTAATCGCCCTTTGATATTCGGCTAGAATGTCTGCGATGAGTTTGTGTATCTCGTCCAGCACATAGTTCGACACATGCAGTTCGTAGTGCCAGTCTCGTATCGCCATCGATAGTTGTTTTGTCCTCGCCGCGTGGGTCTTTTTTTAGGGCGGGGATGATATAAAGGAATGGTCAGAACGCCAGTAGAAGATCGTGGCAACCATCTGAGCTTCCTCTTCCCTGATTGCCACGTGTTCATCCAGGGTGATATCATCTTCGATATCCCGGGGGTCCACGACCTTCTTCTCGACTTTTAGTCCAATATCGAATGGGGCGAGGTCGTACAGCCCAGCAGGTTCCGGAGCCCAGTTTTCGGCGCATCCATGTAGCAGTCGGATTTCTTTTCCTCTGGTGAGCAACGAGCCGAGAGGAATTCTTGAGATATCGCAGAAGGACCGCTTATCCCAATATTTGGATAACAAGGGGGTGGTTGCCTCGTATATGGTTCGAAGGGGTTCCCAAAAATCCGTCAACCAGGATATTTGAACCAGCGGTTCTCCCATGATCAGTGCTCTGGTTCGCTGCGCGTTCCTCGTGAAAACGAAGGTTTTTGCCGCTTTCTGTCGAAGTGGGTAGCAGATTCTTTGCCGTGTTAGCTCGAGAACTTGAGGATCTGCATCTTCCTCGCTCTCGGAGGTGGATGATGATAGTGTGGGTTCGACGTCGGATTCGTCCGTGGATTCTTCCCACCTTATCATACGCCGGGTTCCTGTCGTTGTCGCTCAGGCATCGAAGTCGTCCGAAGGGTGAGGGACATCGGAATGGTGTGCGACCTTCCTCCAGTGTTGTGGAGGATGACTGTTTGTCGTTCAAAATCCAGCATGGCCCGCAAGGCTGTGAGGGCTGGTAATCCGACGAGGACATCGTACGTGGTCACGCTTAGGACCACTACGTCGCCCAAGGCGTGGACTTCACCTATTCGGAAGGCGACATTCGCCATCCTCCCTGCGACTCGGATCTTACCTTTGTCGGCGGAAACGAAGTGATCGCCCTCAGCGAGAGGAATCACGTCTTTCCGCCGGTCGGCCCTCTCGACCACCCATAGAGAGATGGCCAGGACCGCGGCTCCAGAATCAAGGACCGCACTGTAGGGGTTTCCCCAGACTTCCACGTCGCACTCCACGGATCTCCACGGTAGGGCTTTGATCCGTAGGAAGTGATCGTCTTTTCGAATTAGGCCCATCCGGCCGAGTTCGGAGGTGCTTGGCTCTTCCCGCTTAGGGTCTGTGGCGAGAGTTTTTCCTTTTGCGGCTGCCAATTTGGCGAAGGTAAATCGCTTCCGGTTTGCCTTACAGTGTTGTGGCATCCGGTCATTAGCCTGTTCGGAGATGGTCAGCAGGTGTCCGATGGGCAAGGGGATGCGGTGATCCAAGGCACGAACTATATCTAGCAATCGGTGGTGCAACTGCAGGCATGGTTCTTGTTTGCGTGAGTCGGTGGGGACAGTCCCGGGTTATGTGCCCGGGCTGATGACACGTGTAACAAACACTTATGTTAGCTGTTGTCGCACTCACTGCTAGAGCGGGGGCTGGGCCTTGCATCATTGGTGCTGGTCTGACTGCAATGGGGTGCAGCATTGTGCTCGCGTTGTTCCTTCTTACTTTCTTGCATTAGGCTAACCAGTGTTTGAGTTAGTTCTAGTATCGCATTTGATTCGCTAGGCCTTGCAGGGGCTTCCGGTGTAGGCGGAGATGTGGCCATAACCGGTAATCCCGAGGCCATGTCAGGTATCGATCTCTTGGCTGCGACTTGCTCTAGGTAAGTGACCGGACCAGAGACAAAACCCATATTCTCAAATTTGTTCTGGAATGCGGCCAACTCGGCTCTCGCTCTGCCCAGTTCCGAGGAGTCTCCGTCTTTTGCGTGATCTTCACTTTCTACAAAGATAGCGGCGAATTTTCGTTCCATTTCTTCTGCAGATTCGAAGGGCTTCTGCCCCGTCCATAATCTGTTGCATCGTATGATTGATGGGGGAAAATTGCTTCCGCAATTTCGCCCTCATCGCCCGACTACGAAGCCCATCGATAAATAGATCCCTCCCAATTTTTTGTCCCTTTCAGATTTGACAAACAGTTTATAGAACCTACTGCGATATTCTATGACAGATTCGAAGGGCTTCTGAAATCGGTCTTTAATCATAAAGAAGGCTTGTTCGGGGTGGATATAGTCGAACTGGTTCAAGAAGTCTCTTTCAAAGGTCAGGAGATCTATCCAGGCGTAAGTGCTAAACCAGTGATGCACATCCCCTCCTAGTCTAGTGGGGATGTTGATCCGAGCTTCGTCGTTGTCATATTGTTGTGCTAACCATGCCCCAACCAGATGGTGTGCAGGGTCGAAGAGATACAAATCAGGTGGAGCTGTGGATGCGCGAGCTCGGATGGGTGGTGCGGAAACATGGGCCCCGCCTAGCTGTACATTGACATTTTGCGCCTGATTGGCGTTCATATTGGCGGTCGGCCGTCCGACCGATTGGTTTCTAAGTACTGTAGGATCGCGTCGCGGTGCGTTCCGTTGTCTAGCCTACCCTCTGCTCGCCAGATCGTACTGTGCGACTTATCTATCCACTTCTCTTATGAGCTCGCCACGTGTCGGCTCCGATACCAACCTCACACCCAGCGCGACTTCTTGATCGGAGTGGGATGGGGGCCCGAAAGTGAGAAAGAAGGGGGTTTGCCAAGGATTTTAGGAAAGTGGGGGTGGAGTTCCCAGGTCGGAACTGAAATCTCCTGTGGCAAGTTTTAGGGAGAATGGTGCAAAATGGTGCGCACGGATCGTATCTAGCGTTTCAACCTTCGGGGAGGGGGCTAGGGCCTCTGCCAGTGGCGTCGCCGCGGTCGGTCCTTTGTCTGGTGGATTGATGGAACACCGTGGTGGTCGTGCTGCTGTCGGCGCCGCTCGTAACAAGCTTCGGAATCCGACGAGGCGGGCCGTAAGCGGAGGCTGTGCATTCGCTGCTTAGCGGTCAAATCCCGAAGCTTGGTGTGCCTGGTACCGCATACAACCCTCGCACGGTGGGCTGGGCCAATAGCGAGCTATGGAATTCCACGGTACCACTGTGAGCTGGTGATATGGAAGGAGGAGATGGAAGGGAGGGAAGTTGGTAGTAATAACGACGAAGCCCGGGGATATGTAGTATTGAGTATTGTTCGTATCTGGGTAGTCTGGGCCCCTAGGGTCGCGGGTTATGGCCCAGTGGAAATCCCCCACGCACAGTCGGTCGTTCTCTGTCAGACAGGGGAATTCCGGGTTTCTCAAGTTTCCCCGTTGTCTGAGTTGCTCGCCTTCCCAGTACTCACGATACTCCAGATCCCTCAAGCTTTCACGATCGGTGATCCAAAAGGGACTTTCCTCGGCCATATCCGGCTAATGAATTCGATTTCCCGCATCCTTTTGATAAATTCGGGGTCGGCTTATGCAGACGCGCACGTACGCCGTGACTTGGTTTTTTGAGATCGCGGTCGTACGTGAGCGTGCGTACGAGCGGCAGTGAATCAGGCTCGAGTTTCCTGTGTCGCGACAAGGATTGTATCGTACATGCAACTATCATACTCATGCGATGTAGGGTGAGATCCATATGCTTCATTCATATCCATACCATTCACGTGACAAAAAAGGAGAAAAAGGGGAAAAGGATAGTCAACATCTCACAGCGTTCTTGGTGGCCTTATGACGATCAAGGACCAAAAATAAAAACCCCAAACATCCGTAGCGGGTGTTTTTGATCTGATGCAGATGGATGATAGAATTAGAAAAGCATTGCAAAACAAGATAGGGAATCCGAAAAGATCACTAATGAAGAAGAGTTCACACGCATTCATGCATACATACGAGGCGAAAGCGACACAGAAAATTCGAGACGATTTACAAGGAAAGGTCCAAAAAGGCCACGATAAAAATCGGCCATAGTAGAAGCCAAAATTATACAGACGAGCAAAAGAAAGAATCTCAGACCCGCACCCAAACAACTGCTCTCTCTCTCTCTCTCTCTCTCTCTCTCTCTCTCTCTCTCTCTCTCTCTCTCTCTCTCTCTCTCTGCTCCACACTCCCAATGTGGGCAGTCCGTCGCCTCGCATCAACATAGAGTTGTCACCCCGCTTGGTTCGAGCATGCAAGCCAGGTTCGCCCGTGCGCCACAGTTCGTCGCGGCCCCGCACGTCAACCCCACATACCCGACACCAGCTCGTCGGATTGCCCAACTCTCGCACTCACTCACCTCCCGAACTTGCTCGCTAGCCGAGCTCACTGATCGACCTAACCTCGAAATTCTTAGAGAGCAGACTCATCGTGTTTGCAAAATTTATAGCATGCGTGCCTGCGCGAAAAGTACGGGATTAAGCCCAGGTGGACAAGAGGAGAAGAGAGGAAGTGCCTACGTCTGCATGGCCAGGCCGCAGCGTGGGGGTCGCAGCCACACTCCATGCATCGATCCGGTCATGCAGGCGCTCCGACTAATTAAAACAAAGTATGTAAGTTGAGGAAGAAGGAGGAGGCGGGCAAACATGAGGAAACCAAGAAGGAAGAAGGATACAGTTACAATCGCGCCCGCCAAAAACGACAGTTGCACAAGATTAAGGGCGCGACCCAGTCAGAGCCCAGTTCCCAGCGTGGCAAGATGCACGCAAGCGCGGCGCAACAAAATTGAGAGTACCTAAATTCCTAGCCTAAGTCCTAATTGCAAAAGGAAATTCCGAAAAAGCAGAAGAGAAAAACAATTCCGCGAGCCCGTGGGGGCTCGTCATCAGTTGAAAAATTCAAAAACGATATTCCCGCGCGATGATCGCGCCAAAATTCCCAGTGCTCACAGTAGAACAAGAAAGAGCTATGGTATAGTTATTTCTCGCGCTCGCCAGGGCGAGGCTACCCAACCGTTGGCACGGGATCTTCCCGATACCGATCGAACAACTCCCAGCAGAAAATGAAAAGAGACGAGGACATCCATGCAATTTGTCCGCCCGACCCATCTTCCCACAGCTCACCCATTAGACGCGTCGTATTTCCCCAAGCAGCTTTGCGCGGGAAGTCGCCCGATTTCAGAAAGTACTTCGTCACAGGGTTGGAATGGGTTAAACCACCAGTACTTTGCCCAGCTATCGCAGCCGAGCCTGGAAGTGCCCTGCACGCCGTTTCCCGCCGAAGCGCCAATTCGATTTTGGTTTTCGGAAAGGCCGGCGGCGCCAGCCTTCCAGGTCCGGT